AAGGAAGGAAGGAAGGAAGGAAGGAAGGAAGGAAGGAAGGAAGGAAGGAAGGAAGGAAGGAAGGAAGGAAGGAAAGAAGGAAGGGCGCCAGTGGCTCACACCTGTAGCTACTCTGGAGGCTGAGATCTGAGGATCATGGTTCAAAGCCAGCCAGGGCAGGAAAGTCCATGAGAAACCACCAGAAGTAGCACTATGGCTCAAGTGGTAGAGTGCTAGCCTTGAACTGAAGAGCTGAGGGACAGCACCCAGGCCCAGAGTTCAAGCCCCATGACCAACAACAGAAAATAGAAAAAGAAAGAAAGGAAAGTTCTATATATAATATATATTAGATATAAAACTAATATATATATATTTGAAAGGGTCTTCTGATGCAATAGTGTGTTTAAAGTGTTATAAAGAATGCAGGTACAATAATTTTGCTACACCCATTTGTACATATGTAGAACAAAATTTCTACTTCTGAGACTATTGGGCACACATCAGGAATGGAGAAGTACATTTGTACTATTTCCAGGATTTTGTATGCTGTGTGAAATCTGATGGCTTTCAAGGCTGGAGCTCACTATGCAGTCCAACCTGACCTCAAAACTCACCAGTCTTCCTGCTTTAAGCCTTTTGGGTGCTGGGATTCTGGGCATGTGCTACCACACCTGGCTCTGATTCAAATTTTCAAGAGTGAAAAACCTATTCGTAGTGGGGCACTGGTGGCTCACGCCTATAATCCTAGCTACTCAGGAGGCTGAGATCTGAGGATCCTGGTTCAAAGCCAGCCCGGGCAGTAAAGTTCATGAGGACTCTTTTCTCCAATTAACCACCAAAAAACCAAAAGTGGCACTGTGGCTCAAGTGGAAAGTGTTTGTCTTGAGCTGAAGAGCTCAGAGACAGTGCCCAGGCCCAGAGTTCAAGCCCCACTACTTACTGACAAACAAAAACAAACTACTAGTTTCATATTTCCAATGAACTTAAAAGAGGACTGAATGGACCACATGTGTCTCACCTAGGTAAACGAAGTAGGGGGCGATGATGCTGCCCACTCTGGAGGCCATGGAAGTGATGCCCACAGCCATGTTCCTCACCGGGGTTGGGTAGAGCTCTGCAGTGAAGACGTACAGCATGGAGAAGGCAGAGGTGATTCCGAATTTCCCGAACATCACCAGACCAATGGACAAGAAGTAGTACTCTGGAAAAGAGACCCATTGGAAATAAGGGTGCTTTCAAAACCATCACTTAACTCAATTGCTTTTGTTTCCCCTATTTCCTTTTTATTTATTTATTTTTTCCGATCATGGGTTCTTGAACTCGGGGCCTGGGTGCTATCTTGGAGCTCTTTAGTTCAAGGCTAGCGCTCTACCGCTTTGAGCCACAGCTCCATTTCTGGTTTTCTAGTGGTCAACTGGAGATAAGAGTCTCAGGGATTTTCCTGCCCAGGCTGGCTTTGAATGGAGATCCTCAGATCTCAGCCTCCTGAGGAGCTAGGATGACAGGCCTGTGCCCTTTTTATTGGAATGGAAATGTTTTCATTAACAAAAGCACCATTTTTCTCCTAATGTTCTAATAATTAGACAAAGATGGAGAAGGAGGGGTGGCTATGTACTTTGAGATCATTAATGCATTCAAGGACCTTTGTCCTGTTGTCTTTTATTTATTAAGACAGTTCCATGCTAAATTGCTTGCATGTTAATATGGTTAAGTTTAATTTTTTCTCCCCCAGTTCGGAGGATTGAACTCCAAGCCTTATGCTTACTAGGCAAGCCTTCTACCCTGACCTTTTTTTTTTTTTTTTCCTCAAGGCTAGCCATCTACCACCTGAGCCGTAGCTCTACTTCTGGCTTTTTGGTGGTTAATTGGCACCTAGCATTGTGAGCGGTTTTGTTTGTTTGTTTGTTTGTTTTGTTGTTCCTGGGGTTTGAACTCAGGGCCTGGACACTGTCCCTGAGCTCTTTTGCTCAAGACTAGCACTCTATCACTTTGAGCCACAGAGACACTACCAGTTTTCTGCTGGTTCATTGGAGATAAGAGATTCACAGACTTTGTTGTTCAGGATGGCTTTGAACCGCAATTCTTAGGTCTCAGCCTAGGGAGTAACTAGGATTACAGGTGTGAGACATCGGTGCCTCACTGGATCATTTTTTGTTTTTGTTTTTTTGTTTTCAGATAAAATGTCTGCTAACTTTGTCGAGTTGACTTTGAGCCACAATTCTGTGTCTCTGCCTCCAGAGCAGCCAGGGTTACAGGTATGAACCACCATGTCCAGCTGAAAAATCTGATCTGTGTATGTGTGTGTGCGCGCATGCACATGCCAATTTTGGGTTTTGAATTTAGGGCCTGGGTACTATTCCTTAGCTTCGTCCCCTGCCCCATTCCAGGCTGATTGAGCTACAGCTCTACTTCCAACTTTTTGGTGTTAAATTGCAAATAAGAATTTCACAGACTAAGCCAGGCATTGGTAATTCACGCCTGTAATCCTAGCTATTCAGGAGGCTGAGATCTGAGGATCTTTATTCAGAGCCAGCCCAGGCAGGAAAGTCCATGAGACTCTGGTCTCCAATAAACCACAGAAAACCAGAAGTGACACTGTGGCTCAAGTGGTAGAGTGCTAGCCTTGAGCTGGAGAGCTGAGGGACAGCACCCAAGCCCAGAGTTCAAGCCCCATGACTTTCAAAAAAAAAAGAATTTCACAGACTTTTCCCTCCTGGTAAAGTCTACTCAGCCTCTTGAGTAGATAGTAGTTGATGATTTCCGATTCTCAAAGGTAACTCTTCTGTTTGAAGCAGTTGTTTTGAACACACAAAATGGCATGGTTATCTATCACCTGTGGTTTATGATGCCAAGTTGGCAGTGTGAAAGAACAGTGAATGCCTCAGGAGCTAATGGCTAATCAGTGTGTACTGATGTGCTAGATTATTAACATAGTCAGTTTTGTTTTCTTTTTTTGTCATGGGGCTTGAATTCTGGGCCTGGGCGCTGTCCCTGAGCTCTTCAGCTCAAGGCTAAGGCTCTACCACTTGAGCCACAGTGCCACTTGGGGTTTTCTGGTGGTTCACTGGAGATAAGAGTCTCACGGATTTTCCTTGCCTGGGCTGTCTTTGAACTGCGATCCTCAGATCTCAGCCTCCTGAGTAGCTGGGATTACAGTCATGAGTCACCAGCACCCGGCAACATATTCAGTTTTTCTGTGATGCTGTTAATCTTGATTAACTTGTGTGTGTGCCATTTCCAGAGCTTTTTTGCTCAAGGCTAGCTCACTTCCACTCAAGCTACAGCTCCACTTCTGGCTTTTTTGGGTAGTTAATTGGAGATAAGAGTCTCACATAAGTTCCTGCCTGGTTTGGCTTTGAATTGTGATCTTCAGATCTCAGCCTAGTGAGGATTACAAGTGTGAGCTATTGGCATCGGTTTTGGTTATCTTCTTACCTGCAGGTACCAGTTGAATCAGGAGGAGCATACCTCCTCCCAAGAACAGAACCCCAGCAATGATGTAACGCCTGGGAAAGGTCCGCAGGAGCAGCCAAGTTATGATGTACGCTGGAATTTCAACCAAGGCAGAGAGGAAGCAGTTCAGGTAAGCATCACCATGTAAATTAGGAACATCGAGAGACAGACCAAAATAACCCACGGAGGTTAGCATCCTAAAAACCAAAAGATAAAAAACGACAAAAGAATGGACTAAATAAATTCCTCTAGAATCTTATTTATTTTGGGTACTGGTCCTGAGACTTGAACTCAGGGCATTAGGGCTGTCCCTGAGCTTTTATGCCCAAGGCTAGTGCTCTATCCCTTGAGCTATGGCTCCCCTTCTGGCTTTTTTTTTTTTGGTGTGTGTGCTTATTTGGAGATAAGAGTCTCATGGATTTTTCTGCCTGGGCTGGCTTTGAACTGTGATCCTCAGATCTCAGCCTCCTGAGTAGCTAGGATTATAGGCATGAGTCACTGGCACCCATCTAGAATCCCCCCCCATCTCTCTCTGTATGTATGTGTGTATGTATGTATGTGTGTGCTGTGTGTGTTTGTGATAGTTCTAGGGCTCGAACTCAAAGCCTCAAACTGTCAGTCAGCTTTTTAAAAATATGTGCCAATGGGCTGGGAAGGTGGCTCAGTGGTAGAGCACTTGCTTTGCATACCTGAGGCCCTGGGTTCGATTCCTCAGCACCACATAAGCAAAAAGAAAAAAAAAAGCCGGAAGTGGTGCTGTGGCTCAAGTGGTAGA